TGCTTTATTATTTTATCACAATTTTGATTATTTTTAATTCAATTTAACTTTATTTAAATGATTTAATATATCAAATAAAAATAATAAAAAAAAATTTAGAAGAAATAATTGATAAAATTCATAAAAAATCAAAATCATCGAATATTTTTAATAGTATTCAAATAATCTGAAATTTCTTAATAAAAAAGTTATTAGTAAATAAAACAAAAAAGTTTCAATTTAAAGTTAAATTCCTGTTTTCTAATATACTCAAAATTTGCTAAAAAAAAAAAAAAAAAAGAAATATTATTTGTAAATTAAAAAAAGCAAAAAACAAAAAAGTTTTATAATTCATCTTCAGTATGTTACTCAGACAACAAGTATTTTGAATGAACAAGTATTTTCAATAGCCAAGCATACTTTAAACCTACTACACAATCATCTAGATGATGAAAAAGTACATGCAAGCCTTTGCTTAAAATCATGATATAACTCTGGATTAACAAAAAAAAAATAGATATTTTAGACAAAATATAGTTTGTTTTTTTTTTTTTTTTATATATATATTTTCTTTATATTGTTTTTTTTTGAAATAAACATTATACTTATCTGTAATAAACCATAATTTTGCATTTCTTACATTTATATATTTTATATTAAACCTGATATGATTAGATAGACTAGAGTATAAACTAGTTATGAACTAGTAGTCCTAACTAGTTAAGGACCAGACTTTTTAAGGACTACAATAGAACTGGACTGAACAGACTTTTTAACATCCCTACTAAATTTATTCGGTATTCAACATCACGACAAGATATTAAACGTTATATTGTGATAGAAGAATTCAAAAATTTAAGTGATGATTTGTTAAATGAATAAAACATTTATTGCAAACTTAGTGAAGAATTAGATGAAAACTTAAACTTGAATAAATATTGGAAAGAAAATTCTAACGATTTACCTTCTCTTTCAAGGATCGCATTATATTATATCTGGTTACCTGTATCTGGTGTTGACGTAGAACGGAGTTTTAGCAATTATAAAAACATTTTAAGTGATAAGAGACATAATCTTTCACAAGATTCTTTGTCGATACTAAACTTGCTTTATTTTAATAGGTCAATTTAGATAATTTGTAAACATTTTTTTTTTTTTAGTAATTTTTTTTTTCGTTTAAAATTTTTTTTTCTTTAAATTTTTTTTTTTCTTTAAATTTTTTTTTTTCTTTAAAATTTTTTTTTCTTCGTAAATTTTGTAACACTAATTCATAATTATCACATTATGTGAATAATAAACGCATATCACTTATCATTTTAGTCACAATTTCTTTTGTTATAATGTGATTATTATAAAAAATGCATATGGTTCCTTGCATAAAAAGCGCACAATTCGAAATTATCACTTGCACAAAAGTGCAATTTGAATTTGCATAATCCGTGGTCTCTAATATAAATACTTACGAGCAGTGAATACGAAGCAAATTCAGAAATTATGTAAGGATTTGTTACACTATCTGTCAATTCACAAGATTTTACCGACAGACATTGCATGAACATGCATTCACTTTGCTACGCTTCAAACAAAAAGTTTCTCACTACGTACTCTTCCGATAATTAAACAATTACCAGTTTAAAATTGGTAAATAGTATTAAAATTATTCGTATGTTCCAGAGATAACAGTGGCAAACTCTTATATGTTAAAAGTTATGTAACCCATTACAATAACAACCGAAAATAAGACAATTATAATAAGGAAAAATGTAGTTGTTGGGTTCGTTAGATAAAGAACTATTCAAGCCACATGTCCGTATAACAGTATAACGTCACTCTTATCTATCTTATCGTGGCATTGTTAAAAAAAGATTCTTTTTGTACACAATCTGATTAAAATATTCTATTGTCAAACATTTTTTTTTGAATATAACTGAAACTTTCTATTATCAATATGCCTGTGTTTGAAAAACTTGTCTTCCTTCTTGATGCGGTTCTGTGCAACATAGATCATGTGAATGGCGGATTCCATTGAATTTAACTATAATTTGACATTTTTCAAAGTCGCGAGGAAATAGCAAAAAAACTTTTTAAAATTTCGATACAAACATGAGCGATGGCAGGCATTCTACCTCGTCACTTCAGTCTTCAGGTACGATTATTTTTTATTTTTATTTTGAGAAAGTACCGGAATTTTTAGTAAAGCAGAGTCATTTAACAGCTTTTTTTCATATTTTGAAAATGCTGTAAAATAGGTGTTACCTCAGCTGAAGAGTTATCCGAAAAATATCAAAAATTATTCTACGAATTTTCTCGGTAAATTTAAAATTATATCATGTTTATTTTTTATATGATATTTATCTTACTCGCATTTGAATTATTAGGATTAAAGCACAACATTCTGTATTAAAGAAAGCCGTCATTAAGGTTTAATAATATTGGATTCAAATTAAGAGAATTCATAGAATTGGTTGTGATAAAGGCAAATAAAAATAACAATTAATTTTATGTAATAGGAACAAACGACTATTTCTTCATTACAAGATGAATGCAAAACCAAAGAACAAGAATTGCGTACAGTAAGTTTAGTTATTTGATTTATTATATTAGATTACTGAGAATTCTTCGTTATTAATTCAAAATTCATACTTATTAATTGTGTAGTCACTACAACAGCTCGATCTTTTAACTTTTCACAATCAACGTTTAACCAAACGCATTGAAAGTTTACAGGATTCGAGTACTGCGGTACAAATTTGAATGTATCTGGTCCTAATAATATTATAAAGCTCAAGTTAAAGAATTTTAATACTTTTTTAGAGATTATCACCAGGATGGTTGGTGGGTTCAGCTAAAAAAGAACTTGAAAAATCAAAAGCGACTTTAGAAGCTACCAATGTAGAACTGAACAGAAAAATCGAAGAAAATGGTAATAAATTAATCTTGAAATTTTAATGCTGTTGTGTTAGCATATTATAATTTTCAGTTCTTTATTAATTATTTCAAATTTTTTTTTTTTTTCCAGAAAAATTACATAAAGAGTTATTTGAGGTTAACAGCTTATATACACAACATGTGAATTCTCTCGAATCTAAAATATCAGATTTAGAGAAAAAGGCGGAGGAACACCAGGTACCTATAAAATACTCAATGAAATTATACTCGGTTAAACTTTTATTAATTCTTTAAATGCTATTTATATAGAACGAATTAACAAGATCGCATCTTGCTAGCGAAGAGGCCTTGAGTAAAATACGCCAAGAAAAGCGTGATCTTGATAATGATCTTGACCAAACAAGAGCAGAGCTACGCACGTAAGTGTTTGCATATTGATTTCTTGAGGTCGTCTAAAGCGGAGGTAAATCATGTGATAATCTGCCAATTAAATTTCGGAAATTTGATAAACTTTCAATAAAGCCCGACGAAGTGAAGCAAGACAAAAAAAATTAAAATAAAAGTCTGAACTCACCTTAAAGCATTAATAAAAAATATCTGGAAAGCAATTACTTATATATGATACGTCTACCCTAACCCCATCCCAAAGTTAAATATATATTAATTGATATGAGTTACCTCCGTTTTAGACATTCCCTATTCTTGACAATCACAATGTCATCACTGTTTATATTAATTATATTTTTATTCTTGTAGAATAAGAGCGCACATGGAGAGGAACGAACAGAAATTGAAAGAGGGCGATTATGTATCACAAGCAGAAGTTATTACGCTTCGAGATATATTAACAATAAACTTGGGACTCTCACATGAATCACAGAATGATCAATTTAATGTTTGTAATTATTTAATTTTATCATTTATTGGAAATTTTTTATGCTGACTAATGTTTTTTCTTTGCAGGCATTACATGAAATTGATAACGAATCATATGAACTTATAGAAAGCTTTAGAGAATTGCAATCAAATGCTCGATATTATTTAGAATCACTTAAAGAAAAGGTAAAATAATGTTTGTATTTATGTTCTTTTTTTATTTATTTTAACTAAATTATACCCACTGTCATGTGATACAGCCAGATTCAGATTCATCTGATGAACTAGGTTCGAAAGTAAAAAATTCTAGTTTAGTATGGCAACAAAATCTACAAAAACTAGCGGTAAAATTGGCTTCTGCTCAAAGTATGAAAAATAACATCGTTATATTCTATGTCATTTATTTCAATAAACTTTCAATAATATATATATATTTTATAGACCGAATAACTGAATTAACTGCTGAAAAAGAAAAACTTATTAAAGTTAGCGAGGCTGAATCAAATAAGATCAAAATTCTGGAAAGTCAAATTTCTCAATTGAAAGAAGAATTGGACAATCAAAAGGTATTCATCCTGATAATTTTAAAGATATTTCGCCGAAACTGTTTGATTCAAGAAATTTATATCACTTTAACTCACTTTAGTCAACATATAATGGTTTAACGACAAAAATGAAGGGAGATAATAACACAGAAAATGGAGTTTGTGATAACGAAGTAGTAAACGGAGTGAACAAGATATCATCGAATGATGTAAATAAAGATAATGCAGGAAAAAGAGAAAATGATACAAATATTACATCACAAGAAAATGATTATGACGACGATAATGAGGTTGGTTGCCTTAAAAACATTAATAATAAAATGTCATCATTTTATATAATCTTGGGCTATGATTAACAAACAATAATTGATTACAATAGTCATTTATTTATCCTAATGACGCTGAAAAAAGAGAAAGCACTGAACTTTCTGACCAACCAATTAAAGATACCTCTCGCCCAACAGCTCTAACTGTAGTGACCTCACCAATAACAAGATCCACAACTGATGATATTGATATTAACGCAAGTCGCAATGGTAATTCAAGTATTCTCGAGCTGGAACGAGACATAGGGGTAATTTTAATATCATTTTGCTTTTAAATGATAGCACTTTTTTTTATCGTCAAATAAACTTTATTATTATTATTATTAGAGAGTTACTAAAAGCGAAGATGATGCTAAACAACGAGAAGCTCTTATTAAAAAAAATTATGAATCTAAAATAAATCAGTTAACGGAGCAGGTTAATAATTTATTTTATGTTTATTAACAATATATAGAAGTGTATTTGAACACATTCTAATTCTTGACTAAATTTATAGCTACAAATGTCAGATAGTAAATCAGTAAGATTATTCTCGGGTTTAAAACTCATGAAAGAAAAATTAGTTGAAGCGGATGACGGAAGGTCACGAGCGGAGCAAGAAAAGAAAATGTTACAAAATGAATTAAACCAATTGAAGGTAATGAATGCATTAAATAAATACACTAAATTTCTTGTCTTTTTTATCTGTACTTTTCTGATATTTCATTATATAGGAAAAATTGCACGAAGAACGTGAAAATTATAAAAGGCAGATTGATACGATGACAGTATGGATCGATAAACAGCATGAAGATATTGCAAACAAAAATCGCCAATTAGAAGAACTTCGGGCAAATTATGATTAATGAAATTTTTTTGTACATTATTCACATTATATCTTTACATGTATTATAGTAACCTGTAAAAAAGAATTGATCTATGGGTAGATACATTAGAGCACTTATTATTATGGCTTTTTGTTTTTAATGTATTCTGTGTCGTGTCATTAATGACAGTAGATTTGACGGTATTCTTTTTTTTTTTTTTTTTTTAAAAAAAAAAAAAAAATTGTATTTAAGGAAAAGGGTCAGAGACTCCATATAATTATTAAACATTTGGTTCGAAGATTGAACTTTCAATACATAAGGTCATATAAAATTGTTTTTCGTAACATGTGAATTTAAAAATGACCCGCCCGCCCGGCTTTTAATTTTTTAATTATAAAAATTTTAATGTTTATTATCCAGAAAATATATAATTTTTTTTTTTAATTATTAAAAAAAAAAAAACCTACCCGGAAGTATTCTTATAAATAACATAAAATTTTTTCTCGAAAATTTACAAAAGCTGACCCGACCGGGTTATGAGAAACAACTAATTAACTTTATATGGCCTAATATAAATTTCTTTTCATAAATTTCACGTTTGTACAGTCCTGCCTTCTGAATGCAACATGCAGACATGACAGCACATGTCAAAGTGCGTTTATTGATTTAGAGGCATGCGGCTAGGAAGTTTCGTAGAACGTGCATTTGAAAAGTCTGACTATATTATAAACAGTAAAAAAGAAAAGTTTGAATAATTTTATGCTTTTTATTCCACTAGAATCGAGGTGTTCTTGTGTTTTCGCATAGGTAAAGAAAGTAGTCAATCAAAACTTGTAAAAAATATATTCGAAAACTATACGTATTACAGTATTAAAGTATTTAAAATGTATTATGTTTTTGAAACTTTATTGAAAAAAATATTTATTACAGTATTAAATTAGCTCGCAAAAGTATTAAGAATATATATATAAATATGTTTTGGTTAAAAACTTTGGTACGTTCATTAAAACATTTTAAGAAAAAAAAAAAAAAAAAATAGCGGATAGCAGTTCAACCATCTCACTTAGCAACCTCTACAACCAATCACTCAAGTGTGCTACCTTACTGCCACCCAATGCTGCAAGTTTTCCCTGCTCTGTTTCCAGCCTCGGGCATTATCCCTGCTATTTAAGAACCTCCTAATCCAAATTTACATTTAGACTAGAATGTTCACATCGGGTTCAAGTAAGACACTACTCTCAACGTGCGGCGTAAAGAGTTGTGGATCCAAGTGAGGATTATTCCACCACCCTGTCCTCCAGAAGCAGAGTTACAGTCAACTGCCAGATTGACCGACACTATTATATATATTTGAGGACTTATATATTAGACAAATTTTATTTAAAATAAAATTATGGGATTTCGAAAATTGAACAGTAAAGTATAATTGGTCATTTTAATTAAACATATAATTAAGTAAACTCTCGAACAAGTCAGATGATTTTGTGAAGATCGATATATTTCTGATTATCATCTTGAAAAATTTTTTGCAACGACATTAACTTTGGAAAATGGCTGAACATAAGTTTATTCTTCTTTGTATGGGTAACCCTTTATTGGACATTTCCGTTGTTGCTGATGAAACCCTTCTTAAAAAGTAAATATATCTATTAAATAAGAAGTTTTGACTGATATATCAACACTCATAATTTACTTGGTTGAATTCAGATATGATCTAAAGGCCAACGACGCAATTCTTGCCGAAGCGAAACACGAACCTTTGTATTAGTTTTTAATTTTTAATTTTTTTTTTTTAATCAAATTAAAGAAATTTAGAAAGATTTTGTCAATGATAATAAATTATCTGGACGTTAAAGGTACGAAGAATTAATCAAGTCTTACCAACCTCACTATGTAGCTGGTGGTGCCGCCCAAAATGTTGGTCGAGCTACTCAGGTAAATTGTTATGTTATTGAAATTACGTTTTTTTACATTTAAAATATTTTGATTTATTTTGCTTGTTAATTTAGTACCTTCTTCAAGAAAAATTAACCATTTATTTTGGATGCGTCGGCAATGATGGATACGCTGAAAAAATGCGTAAAGCCGCTTCGAAAGAGGGTTTAACTGTTAACTATTTGGTTACCGATTCGCGTCCAACTGGCACTTGTGCTGTTATCATTACTAATAATCATAGGTATCATAACTTTTTTTTTTGTTCTTTACCATGTTCAAAGTTAGTTATTTCAATTTAATTTTATTAGGTCCTTAGTAGCAAATTTATCTGCTGCACAAGAGTATAAGGATTCTAAACACCTTGATCTAGATGAAGTATGGAAAATTGTAGAAAATATAAAATTTTATTATATTACAGGATTTTTTATTTCATCTTCACAAAGTTCAATTTTGAAAATTGCTAAACATGCAGCTGAAACGAATAAGGTATTTAAAAATGATATTTAATTATATAAACTATTTATTTTTTATTTTTTAAAGATTTATATTTACGAGTTTAATCGGTTTCCAATATATATAGCCTTTCACGTTCAATTTATCAGCTCCATTTATATGTCAAGTTTTTAAAGAACATTTAAATGAAATTGTTCCATATTGTGATATCATTTTTGGCAATGATTCGGAAGCTGAAGCTTTTGCTGCTTCGAAAAATTGGGAGGTAAATGTAGTATTAATTTTCAAATTCATAATTTAAAATGATAATATTAATTTATATTAATTGTGATTACTTTTTCATTAAATAAAAATAGACTAAAAATATTAAAGAAATTGCTTTAAAAATGGCGAATCTTCCTAAGATTAATACTTCACGTCATCGTATTGTTATAATTACTCAAGGCTCTGAGCCCACTATCGTTGCAAAACAAGAGGATGGTAGTATTAAGGAATTTTCTATAATTCCAATTAATGCCGAAGAAATCGTTGATACAAACGGTGCTGGTGATTCTTTTGTTGGTGGGTTCTTAAGCCAGTATATTCAAGGAAAAACAATTGAAGAATCTGTTAATGCTGGTCATTGGCTAGCTAATATTAACCTTAAATTTGTGGGCCCTACTTTTCCCGATGAAAAAATTCCCTATACTTGTTAATTTATTAGTATGATGTTTTTTGTTAAATTTTTTGTCATTAGTTTACTTTAATGTTTGGATCCAACGGATATCCAACTGTATTTTTGAAAATCCGCCAGATTTTTATATTGGTCAAAATTATCTGTTTGAATCCATTGAAATAATAAATTTACGTATAAACTAAACTTTATTTAACGTTATCGTTATTAAATTGAATCCAGTAAATTTTTTTTATAGAAATACTAACCCGAATTGGCTAGAATAACAATTAGACATAACTAACAGAAGACTATTAGTAAAGTTGAGTCAATAGAAATCAAGCAAATTTTTTCTAAGTAAATTTTTTTGTAATTTTAAACAAAAATATTTCAACAAAAACTTTATCAAATTTAATAAAAAATTTTTTAAAATAAATGTTAAAGTTTGTAGAATTTATTTAAAAAATTTTTTATTAAATTTGATTAAGTTATTGTTAAGTTATTGTTAAAGTTTCAAAAAAATTTCAATAAAAACAATTTGCTTGATTTTTATTAACACCTCTTATATATTCAAAAAAATCGATTTACATCATATATAAACTATTTTTTTCTGATAATTTTTATATCAAACAATTTTCATAGTATAAAAAAAAACTATAAGATTTTTAATTAATTAGGAATTGAATAAACTTTGTCTCAGATTATATGTTTAGTATATAATCCAATTTACGAGTATTTTGAAGTTATTAGTAACGTGGTATTAGATATATTTTATTACCATTACTTAGTTTCCTTACTGAAGCTATATTTATATCTACTTTTTAACTTAGAAATATAGAGTATAAGGTAAAAGAGGGTATAGTGGCTATATTAAGCTAAAACTTATTAAAACTCGTGATCTATTGATCCAAATCAAGTGAATTTTATACCATTAGAATCGTCTCATCAAGACGAATCGAATGGTACCAAAATTGTTTGATTCTGATCACAAGATCATGAGATAATTAGATCTGAATATTGTATAATTTAAAGTAGATAAAGTGGCTATAGAGGGGTATTGTGGCCACCCATTACGATCTCGTGATCTAACGGTCCAAATCAAACGATTTTTATACCATTCGATTCGTCTCGATGAGACGATTCGAATGGTATAAAAATCATTTAATTTGGTTTACTGTATCACGAGATATTGATGTTTGAATATTTTATAAATTTGAGTTTAAAAAATAAAACTAAAATATTCGAACATTAATATCTCGTGATATAGTAATCCAAATTAAGCGATTTTTATACCATTCGAATCGTCTCATCGAGACGAATCGAATGGTATAAAAATCGTTTGATTTGGACTGATAGATCATGAGATATCTCAGGTGGTCACAATACTCCTCCTGGTTACAATACCTTTATTTACCTTATACTGCTTATAATTCTTTTTTTTTTTTTTTAATTTAGGTGATCTTGCCTTTCATTTATTAAGAGAAAACAAATACATATTGTTATTACAGAAATATAAACTAATATAAACTAGCTACAAATCTGCTTTCTTTGTTTAATTTTGAACTTACTTAGTTATTCTAAGTACTCAAATACAATTTGCTGCAAAAGTAATTTTCTTCCTACAAGAGCAGTTTGCCTAAGCAAAACTATACTCTTGTAATCTACAGAAGGTTTCTTTGCATTTGTATTAAGATTCCTTAGTTATTTTTGAAGCTTAGTTAGTTTTCTTTTAAACTTTCTTCAATCCAATTTTTAATTTTAGCTTTAGCTATATATTAATATCTTTCTTTCTTATCTTTAATAGATTCTTTATATTTGTTCTTGTTTGGATTCTGGTTTTCTTTATTCATTAGATTATATTGCTTATAATTCTATTAAAAATAATATTTTATATCTTATTAATATTTTTAGCTTTGTAACTCTCTTTTAGTTTTTTAATATTATCTTCTAGTTTTAACTTATCAGTATTTTTGTCTCTAGTTTTACTTAGTATTTTTACTAATTTTTTTTTTAAACTTTATCTAATTTCAGAATTTTTTTTTTCTTTTTAAGATCTTATTTTTTCTATTATATCTGTTTTTAACTTTGTTACTACTATATTATAATTACTTTCTATAATATATATTGTTTTAATAATTTTACAACTCATAATTATTTAATTCTTTTTTTTTTTTTTTTTTTTATTGGTCCAACAAAGCCTCGATGCTAGTTAATTTTTATTAAGTGGTTTGTAGATTTACATTAGTTAGTAAGAGTACAATTGGTTACATATACAACTTTAATTATTGTCTATTTAAAGGTTCTGTTCAGAGGTTACCTACCAATTGCCATACCTAGTATCTATTTGTAGATACTCTATTTAAACTCTCTAGCATCCCTGTTATCCCTAACATTTACCTAATTTTATTTTTAAACCTACACAATCTCATGCTACCTCAATGAGGACTACTCAGACTGACCTTGAACCTTAGTTTCCTTTATTAGGAGGGCTCTATCTCAAGGTACCTTTTTATCCTCGTCAAGAGGAGCCTGCAGAATACTTCAACTATTCTGTGCTATATCCCAATTAAGCTAGCATATACCCTTATAGGTGTTTATACAAATCTAGTTCCTACTATAGCTTTTCACCAAATTAGTTCTCTATATATTCAGAAGTTTCATAAGACAGATCCTCCTAAATCTAGTTAGCTACCAAGCCAAGTTGGTGTTGCTGCTAATACAAGGCACCAGGCTGCATTACACAGTGGACTTACTCACATCTGCTCGATCTGCAACTTTCATATACAGACTTCTTTTCTGGATCAAGCATTAACTAGTATGACTGTTGAAATCCATACTATTTCATCTAATTTGGGATTTCTACTATGCAGATCCTCTGCCTGTAGATTCTATCAAGATTTATTTATGCAACATAATTCAAACATTGCATCACATTTCTAATATCTAATTGACATTAGTGCAATATGATTTATAGGGTTACAACCCCAGAAATGAACAGGGTTTACCGTAAGTTAGATACAAAGGTCTAGGTAATTATTCAAATTTGTCGACAGTGGGATTTGAACTCTAGACCTCTTACATAGCAGTCTGATAACCTAACCACTATACTAAGATTGCTAGATCTTTAATTATTTAATTCAAAATATTAAAAACCCAAATATAATTAATTCTTGTATTAGATATTCTATTAGACTATATATATTCTTTTTTTTTGTTATTAAGACTACTTCCTTGGCTAATTAGATTTTATTAGTTTGTTATTATAGAACTATCACATGAATAGTTTCCTAAAGTTTTACAGTTATATGATAAGTATACAACAAGCTACACATACAACTTTAGTCATTGTCTAATTTAAGTAGTCTACCATACAGACAATTAACTATCTGTTGGTTCTACACTATGCTACTATACCTGCAACCCACCTATGAGTTAACTATTTAAATATTCTGATCATTAACTCTTCCTCCTATTCCAAACTAACATCACTACTATAGCTGACTACTTAAGTTAGCTAGCTCACTCATAGATCTATTTATCGCATAGCTTAGATTCTCTTAGGATATATATGCTCAACATATTATGAGCTACAGAGCTCTAGTTAATTTTAGAAGTAAACCTACTAGAGTGGTTTATACTCATTTTATGAATTCACTTAGTTTAAACTCTTGTAGATATTCATACAACTCTAGTTCCTACCATAGATTTTCACTAGTTTTTCTGTGTTTATCTTATTAGATATTTTACAAGAAAGATCCTCCCAATCCAGTTAGTTACTAAGCCAAGTTGGTATTACTGATCCTCTCTGTAGAATAGATTTATGCGTATTTAACTCGATCTGTATCTTTTGATAATAGTTTCTTTTTTAGATCAAGTAATAGCTAGTATGATTGTTGAAAGCTGTACTACTTTACTAATTTAGGATTTCTATCATGCAGGTTCCCTGCTCGTAGATCTTATTAAGATTTATTTGTGTAATATTATGCTTTCTGAATATCATATCATACTTCTAATATCTAGATAATATTAGTATAACGTGATTTACAGGATTACAACTCTAGAAATGAATAGTATTTATCATAAGTTGAGTATAAAGATCTGAGTAATTATTCAAATTCATCAATAGTGAGATTTGAACTCCATATCTCTTGTATAGCAGTTTAGCAATCTAACTATTACACTAAAATCACCAGACCTTCTATATATATTCTTTTTTGTATAAATATATTTTTCTAAACGTATTTTTTAAATTTAAGTTTTCTAGCTATCTAAATAAAGAGAATATTTGTCTTTTATTCAAAATTTTATTACTTTGATCTAAATTCTTAGATCTGATATTGTTAAAATTTTCTATAATTATAATTCAGATTTTGTTTTTTTTTATACTCTCTTATATTTTTAATAACTTGTTATTAAATATTTTTCTTTTTTATCTTATTACTTAATAGAATATATATACAAATAATTACTAATTTAACTATTTTGAATACTAGTAGTATATTAATAAAATAATTATTAAATCTTAAAATCTACTTAATATACTTCTTCTTTTAACTAAATATTTACTCTATTACTCTATAATATTTATCTAATTAATTTCTATAATATCTATATTTTTTTGTAATTCTTAGTTTAGTAGCAAGTTTATTTTGTAACTATTTGTCTTGAGACTATTTATATTATATATAGCTAAAGTTAATATTCTTAAAATCTTTATCTCTTTTTGTTATATCTACTCTAATAACTTCTTTACTTTTTTTTATTTTGTTTTTAATTTCAAACTCTAACTAAAATCTATCTATTAGTTTGTATTTTTTGCTATTATATAAGTTTATAAATTTTCTTTTTTGCTTATTATAATTAGATTTTAACTAAATATTATTACAAGTAATTCTTTATTAATCTGTAAATTTTTAGGTAGCAGAAGATTTTTTATAGTTATTATTCAAGGTACTAGTTTATTTATCAGTAAATAAATAAAACCAAAATTAATAAAATCAAAAATAAAATAAAAAAAAACTTTATTTTTAATAACAATAGCTAAAGAAACTAAAAATAATAAAGAAAAATTATAAAAAAACAAAGTACAAGAATTTGTTTAATAGAAGACTAAAGATATTAAAATATTGTTTATTATTAAGAACTAAAGAGTAGTTGTTATTTAGAAAGATTATTATTATTTATCTTGCTTTTGAAACTGTTGTTACAAGTGGCATAGCCTTCTTAATACACTACAAGTAATATAAAATATGAAAGTAGGACTCCTAATAGTATTAAAGTGGGATATCACATTACTATAGTAGTTCATTTAAAGAAAGCATTTTTGACAAGGCCAAGATATATTTTATTAAGAATTAATAAAGAACTTTGGACTTTATTAAGTACTATATTATTTTAGAACTTAATAGAACTAATACAAGAACTATACAGACTATATTAGAGAACTATGAGGAATTACAGAACTACTTTACAAGAGAGAGGAAAAGCTAGGGTTTATATATCTTTTTTCAAAATGTCCTTAAACATAGTTAAATATTATCAAACATAGCTAAACATCATCAATTGTAGTTAAATGTCATCAAACATAGTTAATCATTATCAAATATCATCAAATGTCATCAAATATAGATATTACTCAAAATGTAAATCCTAAGGTAACTCAAGAACTACATATACTACAGATATGATTTATAGCTCATTTTGAAGGTCTAATCAAGCTACATCGAATGGTATAATCTAAATCTATTTTTAGCTATTAAGAATTCAAAAGAAATACTAATATATAAATCTAAATATCAAATATAATATAATAATAAATAATTAAGAAAATAAGCTAAAGTTCATTTGATAACACTGTTATTGTTTTAATTCTATATTATATCAAATCAAAGGAAAAAAAGACCTGTATTTATATCTTTTAGTTGCTAAGAATTAATAATCTGTATTAGTATTCATAGTATTTAAGTGACTAATAGTTATTTTTAGATATAGTATTCATAGTGTATTTGCAATACTCTTTGCATAATATTAAAGTGATGTATATTACTAATTATTAATTAATAATATCTAGAAAGTTCTAAAGATTCTAGAATATTATGTAAGATTTCAGAAGTTGCTATATAATTTCAAAATATTTCAGAATATTCTAAAACATTCTATAATATTCTAGACTATTCTATAATTTTTTGTATAATATAATCAAAAACTATGACTAATCATTATACAAAAATTATTACTAATAAAACTATAACAAAATACTATATTAAACAAATAATAAAACTCATCCATACTGCTATTGGTATTCTATATAGATAACAAATACAAAAACTAAACAAAATAAATAAAAACTATAACAAATATACTATATAAAACTAAATTAAATAATTATACTAAAAAAAAATAAAATAAAAGAAAAATAAAGAAATAGAAAATTATAGATGTAATATCATCCTCTTTTTAGAGATTAGCTCCTGTAAATTAAAATTCTTCAAGAATAGAAAAATTTTTAAATTCTGTTATTGAAATTCTATAAGTTTTTTGTATAAGTAATTTAAAGTTAAACTCATACATTCAAGTTAATACTCTATAGCTAATATGTTTTGCTTAAAAAATATTTCAAATTCCTTAAGTATTATACAATTTAAAAGTTTTTTTTTTTTTTTTTTTTTTTTTTTTTACTTTATACAAATGCTATTAGCTAACTTTATTAATTTCATAAATTTCAGAAGTGATATATATTGTGAGAGTACAACTAGCCATACGTACAATTTTAGGTTGTCTATTTTAAGTAGTTTGCCTAAAGGTTCTATACTAGCTGCTATATCTGAAATCTCTTAAAAAATTCTCTATTTAAACTCTCTGGTCCTATCCTACTTATCGCAAGTATTACTCTTTTAAAGTTAACCTAAACCTTGTGCTA